TTGACAACCTTGCCCTGGCCCCCCAGCATTGTCCTAGAACAGGCCCTCCCACCCCAGACTCTGTGCCTGGCACGCAACGAGCAGGGTGAGGAATGCCTAGGCCATTGCATTCCTGCAGCCCTCCCTTCTCTTTCCACTCTCTCTGCCAGCTGGGAATTTAAAGGGACAGAGACCTAAGTCCCAAGAACGGAGATTTGTCAGTCTGACAAACACCCCCTACCGCTCCCTATGGTCTGATTGTACTGTGCATCCTTAAAGCCAGATGCCCCTTGCGCTACTGCAGCACTGAGTGTGTTTGCACACAACTTGGGTCTGGTGGAAGCAGGGGTGCTGGAACAATGTGTATAGTGGGGGTGCGGAGAGCCATTGAAACAAACCGTAAACCCTGTCTATCATGGAAACCACTTCAAGACAGGGGTATGGCAGCACCCCTACTTCCAGCACCTATGGATGGAAGGAAACACCCCCCACAAACTGAAAGGTGATCTGTATGGGGGAGGAGAGGAGGGAGTGTCACCTGCCACTCTATTTTTGGGGGGGGGGCGGCAGGCGGATTATTTCTTTATGGAGTATGAAAAAATGCCCCGCAATGTGCTTGGGGTTTTTTTAATAGTTTTTTCTCCTTGTGTTTTATGACCCTGGACACTCCGGCCTTGTCTCCTGTTTTTCCTAGAACTCTAGAAGAGGGAAATTTCACTCTCAGCCTTCAGGAGCTTCCAGCTCAGACCCAAGGCCCTTGGCAGTGTGGCTGCTATCTACACCCTCTCCCCCACCAGCTGCTGCTTCGCCAGCACTTACCATCGTCCAGATCTGGTTCATTCACCACCAGTCTCTCTTTTTCCCAGTCTTGATCTTCCTCCTGGAGAGAATGAAGAGCAGAGCAGTTCAGAGGTGAGAACCGTGTGCGGAGCAAACGGAGCTCCCCGAGGCGGCATGGCCTGGTGGATCAGACAATGGACTGGGACATGGCAGACTCGGGTTCAATTTCTGGCTCAGCCATTTGGCTGCTGGGTGAGCTTGGGCAAATCACTGCCCCTCCGTGACTCAGTTTCCCCCATCTGTAAAATAGGGGTAATGATCCTGACCTGCATAGAGATCTATGGATGAAAAGAGCTAGTTTTTATTAATATAATTATATATTCCACACACACAAACTATAGTAAAAGAACATTACGGTTGCCTGTGCATCCTTATTTTAGTCCCCCCTTGGGCACATACATGACGATACAGTCTTTAATTATGTTGTCACATGCTATATTTTCCACAGGACCCCTGCCTCATTCATTGCCCAGGATGGACGGTGCTCACTTACTGCTCAGCTATTCAATATTTTGTTTTCTCTTCATTATTCCATGTGTGGCCCTTGGTCTTATTTACAGCACACAATTCAAATCCTGCTCTGAAGGGAGAACTATAGATTTTCTAGGGCATTCCAGTATCTGAGTGCTCCACACACATTCATTTATCTTCGTGGCACTCCTGTGAGATGAGGAGCCATCACCTGTTTTCTCACAGTACTTGACATATTCAAGCACCGCTCTGAGTGACTTCAGGTGCAGTTGAGTGTGCTCACACTTTTGCTAGTCAGACCCTGGCTTCTTGTCAGCTCTCCCCCACCCACAACCTTCTTTTTTCCACCCCACTGCTTCCCACTCCCAGTCTCCCCTAGTCTAATCTCAGCCCCCTCACCCATTTCCCTCCTTGGCTTCCAGTCCCAATTTCTTTGGCCAGCCACTCTCATTTCTGCCCAGCTAGTGCCAGTCTCCATCCAACTCCCAGTGCCAGTTTCCATCTCACTCCCCCTCCATCAGCTGCCCCTCCATTAGCCTCCAGTCCCAGTCTCCCCTGTGTCTCCCACGTCTGACTCTTGTCCACTCTGCATTTGATTCAATCAGCGTCCTCCTCCACATGATGTTATGTAGAAGCATCCTCTAATTTCCTAGGCCTGGACTAGACCCAGCATGGCCCAGAAGTCAGGAATTGCAACTGCAGGGAAAGTCCTGCTCAATGCCGGGCTGGTGCCTTTTCAGTGAGAATGGACTCTTTGGGGAATTAAGCTGTGAGACTCTAGCAAGTCTACTACGCATTAGCAAATTGCAAGTTTTCAAAGGCTTTTTACTTGGCCGAATACAGGCCATTTTCACAGGTATGTTAAAAGGCACATTCCTGATACAAAGGGCACCTCCCTGCTCCAACGCATGGGGGTGCTAGAACGTCTTAAAAAACAAATCACCAGACTTTAACATCAGCAAAGCAATGTATGTCTTCCCTAGCCTTGTTCTTGGAAACAGCTGAACTGGTTTGGCTGAAATTTTCCAAAAAAATTTTTAGCCTCAGGCAGACACCAGGCTTGGAAAACTTCAGCCCAAACTATTAAATTTTGGCAAAGATGTAAGCAATGGAACCCAGGGTCTTGTAAAGGGAAGAGTCAGGCAACTCTAACAATCTGCAGGGGTAAGATTCATCCTTGTCCTGTACAGTGCAAAATGAGCCCATCCTCTGTCCTAAAGGCCAGCCCAAGGGCTAACAACTAAACCACCAAAAGGAACAAGGAACAAAATTTACCCTGGGGCAGGATTCAAAAATCAGTGGCACCTCAGAGAGGGCTGTATGCAGCCACTGTTATAGGGATTTTCCCAAACGTTGGGGGCATGGGAAAGAAAACCGCCCTAGACTTTGATCAGGATACCGTCCACGGAGAATGGGCTGGAAAAAGGGAGAAGAAAACCACAGCCGCCTTCCTCCAAAATCATAGTGATGCCTCCAGAGTGTCTCCCATCCCCTCTCCAACACACACACACACACACACACACACTTGCAATGCACATCAGAAAGGCAGCAGGCAGAGTGTTCTTTCTCTCTATCTCCCCAGCACCGGCAAGGAGACCCGCAGTTTGTCAGAATCCAGAGGGTGTGCAGTCCTGGCTCCTGCCTCCACCCCTGGCTCGTCTGGCTTCCCACGTTTGATTCAAAGCGACGGCTCCTTCACAGCTGCCCCAGCTTGCTCCGGGGAGGGGGGGCGCAAAGGGCAGGGGGTGGGTTTGTGTGCGAGTAGACAGAGCCTGGGAAGCTGCCAAGCTCAGTTAGGGAGGAAGGGGGTTGAGAAGTTGCATGGGAGAGGAGACAAAGAGAACCAAGATGGCCGGGAGGGCCGACTCGCTGAGCCATGGGCGTTGTTCAGGTGAGCTCAGTCAGCAATGCAGAGATGAAAGACAGGACAGGAGCTGCCCCCTTGCAGGACAGGCCAGTGGGGTTTCTCAGCACAGTTTTATATAAACATCAGGAATCTGGGATGTAGCCCAGAGCCCAGGACTGGACACGTTATGTCACCAGCGGGGAATGAGCATTATTCACGGCCATTTGGGCTCATCTTGCACCTCCGGTCCCTGGCTCGCAGACAGCGCACACGCCCTGCATCTCTCACACTCACACAGCCCATCACAGCTATTTTGGGCCACACTTCCAAAAATGGAAGCTCCCTTTCACTCTCCATTCATCTCTTCCCAGGCCCGCATGGGTGGGGGAGCCCGCAGAGCCCTTTCTTTTATGAACAGCAGCGGAAAGAATGTCAGCAGCATTGCCGGGAGGGCGACTCAACTCACGTCCCAGGAATGCCAAGAGCTTCCATGCAGAGGTGCCTTCTCCTTGCAGGAAGGCTGGTGCCGTGGTAGCTCCCGTCCTTGGCATGTACCACATTGAATCAGAGGAAGTGGCAATGGAAGAGGCCCACTGGGCTCCTCCAGTCCATATCCAGTGTGCCTGAATTTTCAGAGCTGCCTGGCTCTTCTATGGGTGCCTGGGGTGTTCAAGTCCTTGGAAAAATCAGGCCCTGACTTGATTTTTGTTGCTAGTTTTGCAGCAATGGGCCAAGAGACTATCCCTCAGCTTCATGGGCTCAGTTCTCCATTCCCCCACGAAGGATCCCCTCCAAAGCAGTGCTGAGCCCTAGGCTAGCACTGGCATAAGCCAGCTGGCTAGCACTGCCCTGGGACTCCTGGGAGCAGTTCCTTCACAAAGTCACACTCCCCCAGTTACCAATGAAGCCACAGTGGTGCCTGTGTGTAGATGGGCATATTTTTGGGAGGGGACAGTAGGTGGGGAGAGAAGTGGGCCTAGTGGTCAGATTACCAGGTATTCCTTGGGAGCTCCGTTGCACAGAAAGGCACCAATAGTGGGGAAAACCCTCTCTACCAGGAGCTGTGGGTCCCACCAAGCCCAGCAGGACATCCTGAGGCCCTGGGTCCAGCTAGAGTCTGCAGTCCAATAACTCCTCATGCAGAAAAATTTCTCAGCTCCAGCTCAGGGGAAGAAATATCTGCAGCAGGGAACAATGAGGGCTTTTGAATCTAGCCCAGCATCAGGCCAGCACAGGCTCCCATTAGGAAGAGGGCACCACCCATCCGAGCACAGCCCTATCCCTCCCTCTCTGCACACTGGGGTGCAACGTTATCCTGCATGAACTGCCTTGAGCCAGATGTGAGAGCTCCCGTCTGTCAGCATCAGGAAACCCCAGGCCTGGGAAGTGCCTGGTGCTGTAGGTGGGGAGGGTTAGAAGAGACCGCAAGGGTCCTCTAGTCTACCCCCCAGGGTCTCATCCTGGCTACTCATTGTGTCCATTTCAACCTTTCCACACCCACTCTTGATTCCCTGCCACTCTCAACACCTTAGCTGAGCCAGCCCCTCACCCTATCTCTGAGATCCCCCCACTCTCACACCACAGGGGCAGCTCCAGAATAAATACAGACGCTGGGCAGTGGAATGATTATTCTGGAATAAAAGACACTTATTTATGGACTCCGGAGCGTGCCAGGGCATTTTTAGTAACGCATGCAATTCTACACTTGCGTGCAAGGCATGACCTCGCACGTACGGGGCCTGTGAGGTCATGCTGCGTGGAGGATCCCAAAATGGCATCCTCTGTGCATGTTCGGGGCCCGGATGGAATCGTCCTGTGGGCACAGCTGGTCAGGAAGACACATTCAGGGCTTACATGGGCACGCAGTGCATGTGTTGTGTACATAGACAGCACCCCACTGTTTGGAATGCAGCACCCACCTGGGAGTAGTTATGCCCGTCAGTTTCCCCGTGTAGACAAGCCCTTACCCACTCTAGGTAGAAGGCAGCCAGCTGGGAAGCAAACATTAACTCAGCTCCTCAGCAGGTGCAGCTCCGTGAGAGTCAGGAGAGCTACTGGCAGCCTACACCAGCCGAGGATGTGGCCTGAGGGTTTTCATGACCACCGCTGTGCTTCAGAAATTACTCTGCACCGCTGACAGCAAATCCGCTACCCTTGGACTCCTGGGTGCACTTCGGATTGACACGACAGGCTTCGTAACCCACTTCCATAGCTAGATCTGTGACACAGTTCAAGGGCCTTGGTGCTTTGCATTACCTGCCAACTCATTAACGTGGGGAAGAGATCTCGGCCCATTAGCAGAGCCATGGGTCTGCGCACAGTCTATAAGCAGCAACTCTATACCCCGGAGCTTCGCTCCTCTTTATAAAGTAGTTGGCATCTCTGTGCAGCCAAGAACCTCCCAGCTTTTAATCACCCGACCACGTGGGCTTCGCCCCTCTGCAGCTGGCACTAGCTTGGAACAATACGTGACTTGGGTAGCATCGCTCTCTCATGTCGGCGTAGTTACCATTGTTCACAGGCAGCCCTATCAGCAGCCCTGCCGCCAGGCCCAGGCCCACCCACGACTTGGTTCATTGTGCTCTAATGGACTTTTCAGGGCAATCCCACAGTCCCACGCCTCTTGGGATTGCCTCTGCCCATTTTGAAAGCTGTCGTCGGCATGGGGACGTGGACCCTTATTTGGATACATACAGGCCTGATCACAAAAGCGCGCGAGATGC